GAAAGTATATCCAAAATATTTAGGAAGAAGAAACTCAAATTTGTTAATAATTAGAAATTGGAATAATTATTCTTTGAGGATTTCCCATGGTTTCTCTTGCCAACAAATAACATGTTATACATGGCTGAGAAATTAGATTAAATTTAACAACTGTATGCATTTTAGTCTCATCTATACGAGATGCTTTCAAGATGACAGAGAAGTAGTTAAGTGAAATGCGGAGGGTGCTGGTTCTTGGTGCGTGGCTTTATTTTATAACCCAAACCAAGAGTCTGCCCAGAACCAAGATCAGAAGGCAGGCAGATGAGAGCCCCATTTGAGTTCTGTCCTTGTCTGTCAGGGTGTGTTGCGTCTCCAAATCATCCTGCAGGAGAGATCTTTCTAAGATGTAAACACCACCTTTGTTCCTGGTCAGAGCTCTTTGTGGCCCTCCATTCCCCAGAATCAAGCCCACTCTCCTCAGAGTAGCCTGAGGGCTCTGGGCACGGTCTGAGACCTTCCTTGCTGTGGCCCTGTCCACCTCATCATCCCTTGCACGGGAGAGTCCCCATCAGGAGTTCTTTGCTGCTCCGGAACCTGCCAGAAAGGAGTGTTCTGTCCCAAATGGCAGACCTAACTTCTCTAACAAGACCTAAATTCCTTTTTTTTTTTCCAGACAGAATCTCGCTCTGTTGCCCAGGCTGCCGTGCAGTGGTGTCATCATAGCTCACAGCAACCTCAACTCCTGGGCTCAAGCGATCCTCCCGTCTCAGCCTCCCGAGGACCTGGGACTACAGGCGCCACTACACCCAGCTAATTTTTCTATTTTTAGTAGAGATGGGGTCTGGCTCTTGCTCAGGCTGGTCTCAAACTCCTGAGCTCAAGCGATCCTCCCGCCTTGGCCTCCCGGAGTGCTGGGATTGCAGGCGTGAACCACCACGCCCGGCCAAGACCTAAGTTCTTATTTCATGATTTTCTCCTTTGATCTGTAATAATGTTGTAATCGTTCCCCCAGAGTAGACTTACCTCATATTGCCCATATCCTGGGAACACTAAATGCTATTTTCTTGCTGTCTTTCAGACAGAAACAGTCTCCGCCAGTCAAGAAACCCTCAAAAGTCTTTTGCCATGGATTTAGAAGATGAAGAAAACATGAGTAAGATCTAGGCCTATCACGTAGTATCAAATAGCTAATCTTCTGTTAAAATTTTCGTGTTTTGTAAGTTTATTAATGAGACTGATTTAGGCAAATGGGTGGTTTTTCCTGTGATGTGTGCTTACTGATGGTGTCATGATTTTAGCTCCCCGCAGTAGTGTCAGTGTCCACTGTGGGCATTTCCCGACAGCCATGTGCCTAGGTTTTCCATTCCTCCTTATCATCATGGGGCTGTCGCTTGTTGTCTCTGGGCGCATGTCTCATGCAGCTGCGTGGTCATGTGAAATCGTGTCATGGCTGGTTCTCAGAGTAATGCTCTGAATTGTCATCCAGGCAAACCGAAGATAACCTTTGAGATTGATTCAAATACCCAGGCATCTGGAATAATCGTGTAGAAATATTTCCCTTCAAATACAGTCGAGTCTCTGCACTTTGAGGGAAGGGGTTCATGTGTCTGTTAAGCTTAAGTTTCCAACGATATTAACGAGTCTTGGGGCTGGCGTAAGCAGAACTCACGTGGGGCCTTTCTCCTTTCCATACTGTCCTCTTTGGGGCCGAGGGGTTGGAGAGCCTCGGGGTGTCTCTCAGCCTCGTTCTCCATTGAAAGTTCAGGGAACACACCTGTCTCTTCTTTTTTATCTTTAATCCCAGATGGCAGTACGTCTGAATAAGGTTTCAGTGCTTCCACAGCAGCTGGGAGAGTTTAGTGGGGAAGTTACAAGGAAGACATCACTTTTCTAACTAATACGTGTGTGTATTTATATTCTTACTTGTCTCAAGGAAGAACATGCAGCTCTAAATGACACTGGGAGTGATTATTGATCGTTACAACTTAGCTCAGCGCATTTCTCTGTGACTTCACACACAACTAATCACCTGAGGTCTTGGAAAGGCTCTCGTCCACCACATAAATCAAACTGTGGCCCGGGGAAATGTCCCTACGTTGTATCGCTGCTCCATGAGTTTGCTGCGGGCGCTGTGGCTTGGGCTGGGCCTCTGTTCTGTGACCTGCACAGCAAACGCTCCCTGCAGCTGCAGTCAGCCGTGGCGGGTGTGAGGGTCGGCAGCTGCAGCAAGTGTGTGCTTTCCCTGGCTGCTGCTGGCGGTTTTCTCATCAGTCCTGCTCTTGAGATCTTTTTAAAATCCAGCCTCATGTTTCACGGGGCAGTTCCTCTCACCATTTCCATTTTTGCCACAGTTTTTAAGAGGGAGATTATGCTCACGCTCCTCATTTTAGAAAATGTGACCTTCACTTGGCCCATTTAATTTTCCACCTGAAGAATGTGTGCAGGTGTCCCCAGGTGTTCCACCCGAACAGCGTGTGCAGGTGTCCCACCCGAACAGCGTGTGCAGGTGTTCCACCCGAACAGCGTGTGCAACAGTGTGTGCAGGTGTCCCCAGGTGTTCCACCTGAACAGTATTTGCAGATGTCCCCAGGTGTTCCACCCGAGCAGCGTGTGCAGGTGTCCCCAGGTGTTCCACCTGAACAGTATATGCAGGTGTCCCCAGGTGTTCCACCCGAGCAGCGTGTGCAGGTATCCCCAGGTGTTCCACCCGAACAGTATGTGCAGGTGTCTCCAACTGTTCCACCCGAACAGTATATGCAGGTGTCCCCAGGTATTCCACCTGAGCAGTGTGTGCTGGTGTCCAGGGCCTCTTCTGTGACTGTGGACTGCAGTCCGTGGCCGCAGTCCTCCCGTGTAGGCAGAAACGTTATGTTGTGTAGATTTATATAATGAGCCCTAAACTGATCCTGTGATAACGACGTGTTAAAGAACCCTCCAGCATAATTTTCCTGGAAAGAGAAGCTGCTGGTTCAAGCGCCAGAACTTTGACACGCCAGTCCTGTATGTTCTAGCGTGATTAATATTCACATTTATGAAATGTAGCAGCATGATCTATGAACAGAATGCATATGTTTAAGAGGATTTGAGATTGTGGGATGTCTTTCTCTAATTTTAATATTTCATTTTCCTTTATATAGTAGCATTGTTAATAGACGGCGTGAGCAGAACCCAGCGCCTCTAAAGTGAATGAGAATTTAGAACGTACATAATCTGTGTTTGTGGAAAGTAATGTTTCTTACAATGTCAAGATTACTTGTCAGTCTGATACTGATTATTTTTATTTCTGAAAGCATGTGGTTGTTTCAGAGGTTATAAATATTTGATTAAATGCATGTCAGAATACATTTATAATGATCTGATTTCCTATCTTGATAATTGTTTGACAACAAATGTAAGCAATGATCTAGTATGTGATGTTCTTGCTCAATTTATTAACCTCTGAATTCCATCTTGGCTCTGCTTTTTTTAACCTTTTGTTCCCTTTGAGCACCGAAAGGAGTAACCTACCGAGCTTTTGCTGGAGGATGTTGTAAATGAAAATTTAGTGTCCATTCCGTCAGCTTTGCCAACTGGGGGAAGTGGTGTGTGAGGGCGTTTTGGAGACACGGCACCGGCAGAGGAAGTTTGCAGACCCCTGACCTCTGCCGCCGCTCAGCCTCAGTTTTCCCGGGGGCTGTGTCCAAACCAGGTTATCTTCACAGTCCCAGCTGAGCCAGAGCCCTGGAGTTAGAGATCGCTGTCTGCGCAGATTGGCAGCCCGTGGCTGGGCTTTGCTACGTTAAACCTTCCCAAGGTGGAGCCAATGAGTATTCTCAGTCTTTTCAGTTTGCGTAACACAGTGGGAATCTGCTTTTACATTATGTAGTACGAACAGACCCGAAAGCCCCCATACTGGGGCACTTGTAAATTGGTTTACAGCCTTAAAAATATTTTGGTTACTTAAATGATTTATTGTGGATTTTCTGAAGCCAGTGGTAGAGTTCTTTAAATGCATCCACAGCAACAGCCTTGCGCAGCCCTGTGATTGCTACTCCTGGGCGCCTGCAACAGGCGGCCTGAGAAGCTAACCGCGATAAAGAGGAATTATTTCTTCTCACCTTTTTTAAAAAGCCTGATGAACTTAGAGGGAGGAGTGAACACTTTTTTATTCCCCTTTTTAAAATCAAAATCATGTTTATTTTGCTATTCACTTTTAGAATTCTAAAATTATCTTTATTTATTAATTTTAAGTCTAAACTACCTTTAAAAAGTAGGATAAACAAATTATTCTGAAAACTCATCAAATAATTGTTTTTTAAAAAGACAAAATTGCCAGACAGTGTATTTACGAAGTGAAGATGTCGTAGCTTGCCAGCAGCTTCGACTCTATGTCTTGTTCTTACATACTTTTCCTATTGCGGAATGTATTAAGGATTCAGATTTAATCAATCCCCATATATAATGAAAAATGTAAATGAGTACTAGAAATAAAGCCATATCCCCCAAGAATAATTTCTAAAAAGCCATAATGCTTTTTACAATTACATGAGCAGTTTCCTAAGATTGATTCATAAACTAAATAGAATACTTGCATATTTTTATTGAATATTTGAAACCTGAAAATCGAATTAACTTATGAATGCATGTTTTTAAATTGTGTTTCCTCTTCTGAGAGATGCTGCAGTTTAAAACCTGTAGGTAGTATGATGGTAAATGACAATGAAAAGGAGGAAAGTGCTAAAATAAAATGTATATTTGTCTATATTCTAATATTAAATTATCATTTTGTTACACTTATTAATGTAAGGTCTTTCTGGATTAACTTATCCCACATTTTGACAAGCTTGAAAGAGCATCTCTGGGTGCTTAAGAATATTCTCAGTAGAAAAAAATCATTTAAAGATTTCACCTTTTAATGCAGAAGCCGTTGGTGACACTAACAGAAACGGTGTCGGCCATTAATAAGTACGATGTCGAAGCACTCGTTTCAGCTGAGGCGATAGTTCTCTGGCTAAATGCATAGCTCCTCATGCTTACGTCAGGAATAAAACGTAAAGCACACATCACTTGACCAGTTACAAAGAGAGATAAAGGAATCTATAAATTTTGCATTTACAAGGTCCTGCAACGAAGGCGTTGTAAGTTACTCTTTCTGGGCACCGCAGGTTCCAGCAGCACTGACGTTAAGGAAAACCGTAATCTGGACAACGTGCCCCCCAAGGACGGCAGCGCACCGGGGCCTGGCGAGGGCGCGCAGCTCTCCAATGGGGGCGGCGGTGGCACCAGCAGGAAGCGGCCCCTGGAGGAGGGCAACAACGGCCACTCCAAGTACCGCCTGAAGAAACGGAGGAGAACCCCGGGGCCCGTCCTCCCCAAGAACGCCCTGATGCAGCTGAACGAGATCAAGCCGGGCCTGCAGTACACGCTGCTGTCCCAGACCGGGCCCGTGCACGCGCCCCTGTTCGTCATGTCTGTGGAAGTGAACGGGCAGGTCTTTGAGGGCTCCGGCCCCACAAAGAAAAAGGCAAAACTCCACGCCGCCGAGAAGGCCTTGAGGTCGTTTGTGCAGTTTCCCAATGCGTCCGAAGCCCACCTGGCCATGGGGAGAACCCTGTCTGTCAACACGGACTTCACGTCCGACCAGGCCGACTTCCCCGACACGCTCTTCAACGGCTTCGAGACTCCGGACAAGTCGGAGCCGCCCTTTTACGTGGGCTCCAACGGGGACGACTCCTTCAGCTCCAGCGGGGACCTCAGCTTGTCGGCTTCCCCGGTGCCTGCCAACCTCGCCCAGCCTCCGCTCCCCGTCCCGCCGCCGTTCCCGCCCCCCAGCGGGAAGAACCCGGTGATGATCTTGAACGAGCTGCGCCCGGGACTGAAGTACGACTTCCTCTCCGAAAGCGGGGAGAGCCACGCCAAGAGCTTCGTCATGTCCGTGGTTGTGGACGGGCAGTTCTTTGAGGGCTCGGGGAGGAACAAGAAGCTTGCCAAGGCCCGGGCCGCGCAGTCTGCCCTGGCCACCGTTTTTAATTTGCACTTGGACCAAACGCCGTCCCGCCAGCCCATCCCCAGTGAGGGTCTGCAGTTGCACTTGCCACAGGTGAGGAAAATGCACGGCTGCCACGGCATGTGGCGTTGCTCTTGGTGGTGCTTTATGCAGCGCTCGATTGTCATTGTCACTGTCGACTTTCACCTTAATGTCACTCTGTCCTCACCAGGAGCAGATACAGGTAAGTCTGGCTGCCAGGGCCACGTGGTCGCCAAGAAGCTCTTGCAGCCTCCGGTGCATGCCAGGGCCCTCGCGGTGCAGGGCGGGCGCGGGGGCGGGACAGGCAGCCGAGGCCCCACGCACCAGGTAGTGTTGACACCACAGTCTGCGGTTCCCTCCCCCGGCAGCCCTGCCGCAGCGACGCCATCCCGTAGCAAGCCCCTATCGGGGCAGGAGGGCGAGCCCCAGGCAGAGGCCTCACTGGGACCGGCTCCCATTTGGGTCGGGGTGGTGGGCGGGCCCCTTGGCTCCAACCTGACTGGCTGGTGGCTGTGTTCCTAGGCCGCAGCCCGGCTAAGCAGAGTACGAGCCAACCAGCAGCGAGCAGGAACCAGCGGGCGGGCGGGTGGGGGGAGGGGCCCCTCAGTAAGTGTTCCAGCACCTGCCAGGTGCCTGGGAGTCTCTGCACTTTGAATTTCCTGTGTGGGATTCACGTGGGCTCCCCACCCGGGCTGGAGGTGGGCAGCCACTCTTAAGTTTGGTCTTGCCCCGCCCAGTAAAATAAGGGTGAAGAAAGGGAAAGTGTCAGGGTGGGCTCATAATGGCTTCTGTGGAAGAAGAAAAGAAAATAGCATTTCGTTCTCATCTCTTAAGTCCTAGAGCTCTCTGATTAGCTTTGCTTCTTTTCTTGGAATTCCATCTTCTGCTGGTCTATTGTAAAAATCATTCCTTGACCATCTTCTTTATTTATTCCTTTGTGTCAAAATATTATTCACTTTGAAGATAACCCGTATACTACATGTGACCAGAATGAATGAGGGACTCCACATGGATTGACAGGGTGGCTTGTGTTCTCTCGGAAGCACCCAGGGGGTGCCGTGATAGTTCCTCCCTTGCCTGTGGACACGGTTAGAATAACCTCTATGCAGCTGTAGTCTGGGACGACCAGCAGTGCTCAGTTTTAAAAGAGATTTATTTTATTTTGCCTAAAGCAACCAAATACAACACCAGTATAAAGCAATGTAGTCAAAGTATTTTGCTGACCTTTCTGATGAAGCAGGTACTTGCTTCCCTTGAAACCTCGTGTTAACGTTGTTCATGAGAATTCTTAGTCCATTTAGCATGTTACAAACCCGTGGCACTAGATCCCATGTGATTTCTCATTTTCAGGGTTACTATTTGCTAAAATATTTCAGCCCAAGTTCAAAATATTGTCTGATGTGACTTGTCTTCTCTTAATGTTGACAGAGTGGCAAACAAGACCACCGAAATCGCATCAGACGTTGTGATTCCAGATGCCAGGGGCTGCGCGGTGTCAGCACCGCCAAGAGGGCTTGGCCCTGTGCCTTCCCAGACGCAGGGGGGAGCAGGCCCCAAGCTCCTGGGGGGCACCTGCTGGGCTCCATCCTGTGGGGGTGTGGGTGGGCAGGGGCCGTCTCAGCCCACCTGCCACCACCTCGCTCTGGGTTAGTCTAGAACTGCTGGGGCTCCTGGGGAGTGGAGCTGAGATTCCCCCAGTCCCCGCCGCAGTGGCCCCCGCGGCCCCTGTGTCTTTGGAGCCCCCAGGTAGCTCAGGAGTGTGACCACGTGTCTCCTGGAGGACGTGGGTGGCCTTCCCAGAATCGGTCCTTATGGCCTTCTTGCTGGGTTCCATTGTCTTTCGATTGGAAATTTCAAGCTGTACACTCCAGCGAAGGTGGAAAACCCCACCTGTTTTCCTAGAGTGACCCTCGCAGGACTTAGACATCCCTGGCCTAAGATTTTTTGCCTTCATATTCGTAGTGGCATGCGGGGACCTAAAAAACAGACACACTGACCATGTGACGACTGCCGTGTCCTCTGTCCCAGTGAGCCCAGCGCGGGGGAAGGGCTGTCCACGTCCCCGTGTGTTGTCACAGGGAAGCAGCGCTTGCCTGGGACTGTGTGCACGGGCTTGGCTGTAAGAGCAAGTTGTTTTTGTTGTTGTTTTGTCCACCCTGAAACTGAGAGGAGAGTCGCTTCATTCACCACACGAATGAGACTGTGTCCCTTCGAGGGCGTTTGGGAACGGCCCGTGTGCCGCAGATGCCTGCACCTAGCGGGTGTCAGCGCGAGCGCCGCACCTCTGCTCGGGGTCTCCCCGAACTCTCTGGTCAAACTTTTTCACCTTTCTCTGAAAATCTGGAGACGTGCCTAACTTTATACGTAGCAGCAACTTTGTTTCCTCCGGCTTGTCCTTCACCTCTCTCGCCACGTTTTCTTGTGAATTCGAACGCATCGTCCTTTACCTCTGGGCCCCCGGCCACTGTGGTGTCTGCATGTCCCGCGTTCTGTGCGCAGGCGCTGTGCGGGCTATCTTCGTCCGCTCCAGCGTGTTCTTTCCTGAGCGCTGTCCTCTGGGCTCCCTGGTCTTTGCTGCAGTGACAGGAGGAGACGTCCTGGCAGCTGTGTTTTCCCCATAAGTCATCACTTAGGATGAATGACTTTTCAATTCGGGAAGAATTTTGTTAAGGGCCAACCTGGGGGCAGTAGTTTGGCCTGGTGGCCATGGGTTGTCCAGACAAGTGTAAGATCGGTGGGACGTGGGTCGAAACTGGCTCTTAACACACACCTCTCAGCAGACACTGTTTGTCATTATATCCAGCGAGCCGTGAAAACAAGAGCACGTCCAAAATCTAGCACATGAGCTCCGAGAAGGGCGCTTGGGCTGTGCGATCTGATGGTGCTCCAGGGCAGGTGTTCCAGACATCGCACTAACACCTGCCCTCGAAGCGTCGGCCTCGGGTGCGTTATAGGGTCGTTCAGTCTGAGCAGGAAGTGCTCTGACAAGCTCAGTCGCTGCTGCGTTCTGGGACAAGGAGCTGAGCCGGGAGACGTTGTCAATAGAGGTTGAAATAACGGGAACGTCTCTAACTGGTGCCTCGGAGAGGGAGGTGCTGGGCACAGCCTGGCGGTTCTTTCATCTGATCGTGCCTTCAAGCTGCCCCTTTTGCCCGCGATCTTGCGTGTTGCTTGGTATGTGCCCCGGCCTCGTGCAGCCTCTGAGCCGCGCCACGTGTGGGTGTGGGAGAGGGTGAAAGAGGGCCCTCCAAGCCCCGAAAGCCCTGTACTCAGGAAGTGTCAGTGAGAGAAGCGCCGGAGGGCAGCACCAGTAGGCACAGTGTGCGGGTGGGCGGCCCTGGGCAGGCTCTCTCACCCTGTGCCTCGGTTTCCTCCTGGGGACAGGGCTGGTGCTGTGAGAATCAGAGGGACGACGTGTGTGTGGGCCTCACGCTTTGTGGGTGCCGGCTCCCGCGAGGGCACGTTGCAGGCCCCCAGCCACAGCCTTGTGACCCTTGGGCATCAGTTCATAGGGAGTGTTTTGGAGGATGCGTGCGTGCGCACACGCACACGCGCACACGCACGCACACACACACGCATGCGCATGCGCATGTACGCACGTACGTATGCGCGCGTGCGTGCACGCACAGAGACGCGCACGCGCAGAGACATGCATGTGCGCGCACACAGACACTCACACGCACAGACATGCACACGCACACGCATACACACACTTGTTTGACAGATTTACCTGTGTGGTTTCCCAGATCAGAAGCAGTTTGTGAGTGTCACCGTGTGGAGGGGCGTGTGGTGACAGTCAGAGGGATCAGCCCCCCCAGGTGCCAGTGGGTCCCTAACCCTCGCGTCTCTGCTCCCCACGCAGGTGCTAGCGGACGCCGTCTCCCGCCTGGTCCTGGGTAAGTTTGGTGACCTGACCGACAACTTCTCCTCCCCTCACGCTCGCAGAAAAGTGCTCGCTGGAGTCGTCATGACGACAGGTGAGCATGTTGGTGTTGCGTGTCACCCGCGCGCGCGTCTGTGTTTACCAAATGCGACACGCTCCCCATCCGTGAGAACGGCTCCGACACACCAACAGGAGGTGGTTTTCCTTCTTTTTCTTCAGAATGTCGGCCATATGCAAATGTGAGAACTTCACTTACAAACCTTTTCTTCCCCTAAATGTTCAGCTTTTTAACCTAAGTCTGTTTCATTCAGAGAAAGCGTACTGTGTTAATATGTGATTCCTGTCATCTCTGTCGCGTGGGAGCCTCGATCTGCTCCAGAAAACGGCAGGGGACTCACTGATTCCTGCTTGATTGAAACTGGGCTGTATCCGATTTATCACCTAACTCTTGACGCTGCCGGAGAAGTTTCTGAGTGGCTGTTACGGGGGAGGGAGGAAGCTCATACAAGAGAGAAAATCCCTGGAAAAAAGCACAGTTTAGGCAGAAGAAGCCCTATTAAATTTGGCTAGAAGTCCCAGCAGCAGAAGGAATCCCGGAACCCCTTCCCACACCCCGGGAGTGAGAGCACTTACTGCATCTCAGTGGGTAGCTCCTGGGGAAAGGAAACCACGTCCGTGGCCGCGCCTGCGCCCTGGGGCGGGGGCCGCCTGTCACGCGGGGCCTCTCCGCTCCCGGGTCCGCTCAGCCTGGACGGCCGGGTGCAGGAAGCCGGCCCTGCGGCCGCACAGGGAGGAAGCTGGGAACGGTTTATCTGTCCACACCTGCCAGCCGGGGAGGAATCCCCAGTTCTCCACATGGGTGACCACGTTGTCCCTCCACCTGAGGCAGCACACCTGTCAGTTTGTGGAAAGGGCACGAGTCCATGACCCTTGGCCTGGACCAGCCACGTGGTGCCCTAGAAGCACAGCTGCCGTTTTAGCGGCCATCGCTGCCGTGCCGGCCGTGCTCGCTCTGACGCACGCGGGAGCGTGCGGGGTGGAGGAGGTACCCTCGGCTCTGTTTGTGGCTGTATTTCCCCCACCCCCCAGCTCTCTCCACTGCCGTCCTTTACAGCGCTGCACTCGGGACCCCTCACCCACCGAGTCGGTTCTCTAAGTCAGGTTCTGTGCCTCCTTGGGCCGCGTGAGCGGGTGAGCTGGCCGAGTTCTTTTGCCCAACCTAAAAACCACCTTAGAAGAGGCAGACCCCCTTCTGGGAGCATTGCGCATTTTCGCGTGTGTTTCACTCGAGACCATCTGCTCAAGGCCACGATTCCCATCTGGAGCCAGCACTGCGTAGCGAGCACCCGGTGTGCGGGCCGGCCCCGACGCGGGCTCAGGTGCTCTTGCCAGCTGAGTGGCCCTGGCAGGTCGGGAGCCCCCCCTGCCTCAGTTTACGCATCCGTAACGTGGAGACAGTAGTAGCATGTACCTCAGAGGACGTCACGGGAGGGCAACAGGGACAATTTTCCTGATGTCCCTGCGTCCCTGGAGCGAGCTGTCACTTGGCGTGCACACCGTTCATTTAGCTGTGGTGAGCGCCAGCCGACTCTTGGGTGCCGTTGACAGCCTGCAGCGTGTCTCTGCCCGTGGTCTGCCCCGCAAGTCAGCGCGGAGTGGCCCGGTGTGGAAGTTCCCCACTGCTCACATCTCACTCCCAGTGCAGCGACGCGGGACAGATTACTAAGGAAGACGTGGCCACTTCGTTCTGCTTTCCCTCCCGTTCCTCTGGTGCCGTTGGGCCGACCCTTCCAGCCCCTTTAGCGCTTTGGTATTTGATGTCAAGGTTAATTGCCAGACCAGGTAGTCTGCCTTTACATAGTGTTTCCTGCCTGTGCCGATGGTGACTGTGCCAGAAAAGGCCTTGTTGCATTCCAGAGGAAACGAGTTTAGAATCTGCACCCTAAATAGTGGGGAAGGTTAGCTTCCCAGAAATGTCACACGTGTCCTCAGTAAAAGGTTATCTGCAGTGCGTAACTCCGCCCAGTTGGGAGTGAGGTGGTGAGGATACGTCCGAAGATGAGCTCGCAAAGTCCGCGGAGCCGGGAGAGCGAGTCACCGCGAGAACATGCCAGCCCCAGGGGCACAGGCGGCGGGCGTTGCTGTGACTTAGTGAAAATAATTTCTCTTTGTTTGTCAGGCAGCGACGTTAAAGATGCCAAGGTGATCAGTGTTTCTACAGGAACGAAGTGCATTAACGGCGAATACATGAGTGACCATGGCCTTGCTCTAAACGACTGCCATGCAGAAATCATATCTCGCAGATCCTTGCTCAGATTTCTTTACACGCAACTTGAGCTTTACTTAAAGTAAGTTTAGTAAGAAAGTAAAGGAAGCTATTATTAAAATTTTTTTTTCTTATTATAATGCAAAACATTACAAAACTTTTCATTGTTTCCGTAATCACTGAAAAATTCTCAAAATAATAACTTTATCAGTAAGACTGAATCCCATTTTTCCATAATGCTCGAGCTATGAAATAGCCTTGACTACATTATCACACACACACGGATACACACATATGGACATACATGGCCATCAATTTTAAGTGTTCGTTGCAGACCACGTGATTTTGTTTTATGCAGTGCGAATATAAACAGAACTTCCAAACTACCTGAGAAAGACGGTCACTTTTATGCGAGTCACTGTTTCTAGAAAGAGCTAACCATGTACCTAAACTGGTTTTCTTTACAAAGCTGTTTTTTCCATGTGGCCTTTCTGTTCTGAAGTCATAAATGAGAAGAAGAAAAGGCTACTCACATTTCGACGCCATGTCCATTATTGCATGGACGAGAGCTATATTAATTACTGTAAATACATAAAATAGAAATTCCAGTTCAAACTTATCTTTCCCCTGTTGAAAATACTGGCCTCTGAAAATCGTCGTGACTGTGATAGACTAAATTTTGACTGTGCACAGCTTTAAATGTTACTTTCGCAACTTTTTTCCTTTCAGTAACAAAGATGATCAAAAGAGATCCATCTTTCAGAAATCTGAGCGAGGAGGGTTTAAACTGAAGGAGAACGTCCAGTTTCATCTGTATATCAGCACCTCTCCCTGTGGAGATGCTAGAATCTTCTCACCACATGAGCCAATACTGGAAGGTATGAGACCACATTCTTAAGCAATTGAGAGTTTCTCAAGTAAATTTATCATTATGTAGCAACAGACAAAATAACAAACCTACAGTAATATCCTCTTCTCTTTCTTTTTTTTTTGGATTTTGGCCTTGGGTGTGGATCTAATAGGAGTTTCTATAAAAGCATGGAGTTTTTTCTTTTCGATTAATAATTTAATTAGAAAACTTTAATGAATGAAAAATGTGAATTCTAATTAACCAATTAAAATAGAGTGAGGGTATTAGATCAAAATTGTATCTGTATTTAAATTTGGATCATAAATGTCTCTACGTCAGAGATGTATTGATCCTCCATGTTCCCGATGAATTATCGTTCACTACATGTGTGATTACGGCATTTGGCTGATACTTCAGAAGCAAGTAGGCACTAACGAAAGGCAGGGCACCACTGCAATCACATTTTGTTCATCCTTGCACGCGAGGTTAGCGCCTTTGTCTTTCGGTGATGTGTACCCACACCCCTCTCCCAAGTGTGAGCAGCGTTTATCTCAAATAGAAGGAATGTTTGTTTATGCTGTTTCCCGTGGTTACAAAAGCAACACATACTCACTGTGGAAAATTGCTAAATATTTATAAAATGTAAGAACATTAAAATCACCCATATTCATATAATCTAGACATAATCACTACAGATGTTTTAGTATACTTCTCATGGGTTTATTTCTGCATCTGTCTAGGTTTATTTTTGCAATTTTAAAAATACAAGGAGAAAAAATACAACTAATGCCCCAATAGCCATCACTCAGAATTAGCAGGTGTTAGCATGTTGTCCTATTTGCTTCAGCCCCTTTTTAGTGATAGAAATAAATCATTTCAGTTAAAATGGAAACCCCTTCTCCCCCAACCCCCAAGGAGACTACTTTTGTGAATTTGGTTTGTTTTGTATCCTTCCCGCCGAATGTTATACACTTACATTATATGTGTATTTTGTATACACGGTATAAACATAGGCATATACATGCATAAACTGTGCTTTAATGCTCGGGGCATCGGTAGATGTGCTTTTCAGTGAGCTGAGTAGCTGTTTGCTGTCTGTGGGTTACCCTCCTTCCTCTCTAGAGCCAGCGGACAGGCATCCAAATCGCAAAGCAAGAGGACAGCTTCGGACCAAAATAGAGTCTGGGGAGGGGACGATCCCAGTGCGATCCAACGCCAGCATCCAGACGTGGGACGGGGTGCTGCAGGGGGAGAGGCTGCTCACCATGTCCTGCAGCGACAAGATCGCGCGGTAAGGCGGGTGGGGGTGTGACCTGCGGTCACCTCCCTGCACGTGGGACTCGTTCATTCCGTTTCTCAACTTCCCTATTGGCTTTTGTCCCCATTCCCTACTCGGGTGTTCCACGTGTTCTCTGAAGGACCGAGGTTCTAAACATGTGGGCCCACCGGGGGCGAATAGAGGTGGGGCCTTCACGCGTGGGCGCCAGACTTCTCGCCCTGCCTGTCCTTTAAAACAAGCGTCCAGCTTCTGGCATGTATGTTTATGCAGGGCTTCTAGGTTAAATTGGTGTATCTAATGTGCTGCCGGCTGTGATATTTTAAAACTATTTGCTTCCCCTCATTGCTAGTAGATGCAACTGGAATGGTCATGTTCACCATTCAGTTAACATTTGGGGTAACTGATATTTACATTTTAAAAATCATGTAAAACCCGTCACTGAGACGCTGAGTCCCAAGCACAGAGAGCACGTGGCCATGCTGTGCCCGGCGGTGGGTCAGGCTTAAATTAGGGCTCTGCAAACACTTCTCTTGTTAGCTTGTGCTGAAACATTTCTCTCCCAGAAGCCTGTATCCAGATCAGATTTTAGAAAACCTTTCATTTTTTCAGATGCTGGTATTAGTTCCAGTAGTTCTTTGTTGTTTTTAAAACTAATGTTTATTTGAAGAAAAAAGAAGTAACATGAGCCAGCGATAAAAAGCATTCAGTGGTACAGAAGCACACGGAATACAAGATCTCCCTGTTCGGAGCCGTAGTGGTGGCCGTGGCGAAAGGTCTTGACGGCCCATCCAGAAGTCGTGGACGTTGCCACGCGCACACGTGCACACACGTCTTTCCACGTGTGTGAGAGCCTTCTGTGTTGTGTTATTAACAGGTCTTGGACGGGAACCTCAGGTACAGGGGGCTGGATCGATCATATGCTTGAGGCCACTGGGATGTGTTAACTCATTATGTATTTGTGTGTGTGCGTTCTTGAAAAATACACAACAGTGTGACTTTGAGGTGTTTATGTTGTTAATTTACAGAAATGGTATAATCTATAGATTCCATTCTGTTTCTCACATTTTCATTCAACTCTATGTTTTTGAAACTGACCCCAGTGCTCTGACAAATGGCCGGTTCGCTACTTCTGCCTTCTGCACGGATCCCCTCGTAGTCCTGGGCCATTGCCTCCATGCCGGAGCCCTGGGTTTCCTGTCCTGCTCTTCTCATGTGGCCCTGAATATCCTCACTTAGCTCAGGGGAGACCTTTGCTAGGGTTTCTTGGGCACATGTTCAGGAGCTGTACACACGACAGCTTCGCAGAGTGATACCAGGTCGCACCCCAGTCTGTCACACCAGTTGGCACACGACCAGTGCGTTGGATTAGTCTCTCCCAGTTTGTAAGCTGGTCCCTTGTGGTCTTAATTTGCATTCCTCTCACCACCAGGAATGCTGAGCGTCTCCTCAGTTCCATGGTAACTGTTCGTCGTTCACCTCCCCTGAATGCCCAGGTTGTGTCCTTTGCCCACCGGTCTTTTGGATCTCATAGCTTTTTCTTCCTCACCCGCAGAGCTCCTTTTATGGTTTATAGTGAGAAGCTTCCGTGTCTTCGCTGAGTCCTGTCCCCTGAGTAGTCTTGTCACCCTGTGAAGATCACTCGACCACACACGCCGGGATTTATTTCTGGCTGTCTGCTCTGTTCCATCGCCGTCCATGTGTCTCTGTGCCAGTGCCACACTGTTTTGATGACTGTAGCTTTGTAATATGTTTTGAAATCAGGAAATGTGACATCTCCAACTTTCTTCTTCTTTTTCAAGATTGTTTTGGCTGTCCAGGGTACCCTGAAATGTCATGTAAATTTTCGGGTGGATTTTTCTGCATAAAGTGCCGTTGTTCATTTCATAGGGATGGTGTTGAATCTATAGATTGCTTTGGTTAGTATGGACATCTTAACAATATTAAGTCTTCCAACTCATGAACATGGGATATATTTCCATTTGTTTTTATCTTCTTTCATTTCTTTTAGCAATATTTTGTAGTTTTTATTATACAAGTCTTTCACTTCCTTGATTAGATTTACTACTATGTATTTTACTCTTTTTGATGCTATTATAAACAGAATTGTTTTCTTAATTTCCTGTTCAGGTTGTTCATTGTTAGTGTGTAGAAATGCCATTGATTTTTATGTCTTGATTTTATAAACTGTCTTGATTTTATAATATATCCTGTAACTTTGCTGAATTCGTTGATTAATTCTAACAGGTTTTGGGGGGGCATCTTTAGGGTTTTCTGTATGAAATCATGTCATGTGCAAACAGATATAATTTTATGTCTTCCTTTCCATTTTGAATGCCTTTTATATCTTTTTCATGCCTAAATACTCTGGTTGGAACTTCTCATAGTATGTCGAATGGAAGTGGCAGGAGTGGACATCCTTGACTTGTTCCTGATCTTTTTTTCCTTTTGGAGACAAGAGTCTGGCTCTGTCACCCAGGCTGGAGTGCAGTGGTGTCTCACGGCTCACTGCAGCCTCAAACTCCTGGGCTCGAGCGACCCTCCTGCCTCGCCTCCCACAATGCTGGGATTATAGGTGTGAGCCACCACACCTGGCCTGTTCCTGAACTTAAAGCAAGTTTTCAGTGTAAGGTTTTTTGGGTGGGCGGTGCCAGAGAAAGAAAGACAAGCAGAGTGTAAAGCTTTTTGTAGCAGAGAGGAGAAAGAAAGACAGACAGAGTGGGGGTTGCTGCCAAACAACATGGCTTTATTGAGCGCTCCCGGGCAAGGTTCACGGGTCCCAAGAGAGAGGGGCCAGAGAAGTCGCGCCGCCTGGAAGTTTTCAGCGGGCTTATAAAGGTTTTAGAGTTGGGAGATGGGGGTTTTTCTTTGGTGCGAAGTTTTGGTGCGCAAAGTGGAGAGTTCTTTGTTACAGTTTAGGGCGGGTTTTGTGGGCTTCCTTTTATTTTCTTTAGGGAGGGGAGGGGTGCCCGCCACCAGCCTTACATTCTGGCCTTTGGGTTATGTTGGGCGCTGCTCTTTCTGACTACTTCCTGCAGTGAGGGGACGTAGTCAGGGGCTGTGGGCCTGAGTCGGCTGGTGGAGGGGTGACTGGTCGGGGGGAACATGGATGAAGAAGTAGTTGGTTTACTGCCACTCGAGATAGCTCCTGTAGGCGGCGCTGGAGGAACTGAGCCAGCGAAGTTAGTTGTCTTTGTAGTGAGGCCAGCGAAGCAGACGTGGTCTCTAGAGCACTTTGTAGGTGATCTGTAAAATCGTATGGAGTTAATTGAGGGACCACTATGACAGGAAAACAAGGACCCAGAGTGGATGTATTGACACAGTGGGTGAGTGTTCCGTTGCACCAGAAGAACTGTCCCGGAGCAGAGGAGGTGGTTGTGGTCGCAGTATGGTTGGTAAGGCAGCGTCCATGAACTTGTAGGTTGGGGTCAGTGAGGGAGGTGAGAAAGCACACGCAATCTGCGTAAGCTTGGCCTGTAGGTTTAGGTTTTTAAAGGGGAATGTGAGTGAGGGGAGGGACTCGTGTACCTTAAATCTCCAGACATAAATGGAATCAGGAGCAGCTGTTGGAAGGGCCAGAAGATACAGAAGTCCACGTAAGACGGAGTTTAGTGGGACCTACCTGGTGGCAGGAGTAGGACAGGGAAGCATCTTGAGGTGGGGACCTTTTGATGTGTGAGATGTGACGCCAAGAACCGGTAGGGTCGTTCAGAAGTTTTACAGCCATAGGTGTTGTTAAAACGACTGTTTGGGGCCCCGTCCACCGGGGCTCAAGGGGCTTACGGTGAAGAGTTTTAAGAAGTACCAAGTTGCTGGGTTGTATACTCGTGTGAGAGATATCAGTCGGTCTCCGGCGGCTGAGGCAGGTACCTGTCCGCGTGGGCCGGAGAAGTTGTCTTTGGAGAGAGAGATTCGGGAGATAGGAGGCCAAAGGTGGGGGCTGGGCTGGAAGATGATGGTTAATGAGAAAAGACCGGCCGTACATGAGTTCAAAAGGGCTCAGATAAGTAGGATATCGAGGAGCTGCCCTGATCCGGGTGAGAGCCAGGGGCAAGAGATCAAGCCATGATTGGCGGGTCTCGACGATGAGTTTGGTGAGGTGGTCTTTTATTAACCTGTTAGCCCTTTCAACCTTTCCTGAGGACTGGGGCCTGTAGGGAACATGAAGTTTCCACTCTATATCGAGCGCCTCACAGACCTGGTGAGCAACTTTAGAAATGAAAGCAGGGCCATTGTCAGACTGAATGGAGGAAGGAAGGCCAAAGCGAGGAATAATCTCCATGATGAGCGTGGAGGCCACGATTTCAGTAGTTTCGTTGGCAGTGGAGAAAGCTTCACCCCAACCCGTGAAGGTATCTACCAGTGTTAAAAGATATTTGAAGCGTTTGTGGGGCGGCATATGAGTGAAATCGACTTGCCAGTCTTGTCCGGGGAGGTGTCCACACATTTGATGGGTAGGCACGGGCGGTTTGAGGCCCCCCTGAGGATTGACAGGAGCAAAAATGTCACGGACTGAGCAGACAGTTTTGGTAATGGAGTTTAGTGAAGGGTGTGAAAACAGAGGCTGTAGGAGTGGAAGAGGCCCTTGGTGCCAATGTGTAGTGAAGAGTGTACCTGGCCAATGAGTTCTAGGGCTTGTGCCTTAGGGAGGGCCAATTGCCGTCTAGTATGATCCACCCTTCAGTGGTGATTGAGCCCCCTTCAGCGAGAAGTCTGTCACGTTCTTCTGGAGTGTAGTGAGGCTGGATAGAAGGAATAGAAAGGAAAAGAAGAGGAACTGGACCAGGGTGTTTTGCGGATGTTAGGCTGCGGGCGACAGCATCGGCATAGTTGTTCCCCTTAGTGTCAGGGGACCCGTCCGTCTGGTGTCCCTTGCAGTGTATGACAGCCAATTGGGTGGGCAGCTGAAGGGCCTCGAGGAGACGGGAAATAGGGATGGCGTTGACAACAGGGGAGCCCTTGGTGGAGAGAAAGCCTCGTTCTCCCCATATGGCAGCGTGGCAGTGAGCTATCAT